CTTGAAGTGTCAACGCTTGCTTTTGCCGTGCTCATGGCATTTATTTGGCTTATTTGGTTGAAGAAACCCCTTGATGTCCAAGAACCGATCCAGCTCAAAACTACAATCTTGACTCTCGAACAACCGTTCGCTGCGGGTCCAGACCTTCCAGAAGCCGGCACAGACTTTATCGAGAGTTTGGATCGTGTGCGCTCCCGCTTTCCAGGTACCATTGGCACTCAAGACTCGACTGGGGACGCTGAAGCGGCCGACCTGGAAGCATCTGCCGTACAAACTTCACTACCAGTGGTTGTTGAACAGGCTCCAGCCCTCCTGCCAGTGGAAGCTAGAAAAATCCCCAGTCGTGCGGCGGCATCTAGCTCATCCAAGCCGAGCCCCGGTGAAATGATCCTCCATCACCTGGGCAACATTCTTGTTGGGGGGCTCAGCTCTTCTGTAGCCAATCTAAACTCGGCAACTTCTGTTCCCGCGTTTTGGTGCGGAGTCAGCGAAGATTTTCCAGATCTTCTCGTTTTATTTTCCCTCGTTCTCGAGCTAGTCTGTGGATCTGTTTTCGGTGCCATACACTGTATCGTATGGTTTGCGGAATTTCCTAGCACCGTGGAGATGTGGATTTGGCGCAGCTCTGCAGCTTCAATCAGTGCAGTAGCGGCGATTTTCATTTTTCCCTTTCTCGTCTACTTCATGGTTCTAACACTCGTACAGCTCTCTTGGCTCGTCATCTCCCTTCTGTGGCAGCACCTTTCACGCAGTGACACTAGAAAAAAGTTACCAGAGGATTGGGATGACGTTGTGGGACCGGTGCTAGGGGTATTGTTCATATTCGTCTGGGTTCTCTATGGGGTCATTTATTGTCTGGCACGAGCGTTAATTCTGACGCTCATGCTGACAACCCTACGCTCCTCCCCGCAGACACATTCATCAATGTTAACTGGAATGTATATATTCCTCACTTGTAATGCTACTTACTACTACTGTAGTAATTAGACCATACGTTCATTAATTTTGAATTTTTTCATGCCTAAGAGGGCCGAAAAATTTTCTTTTGATTTTAGATGAATTTTAATGCTATGTTTTTTTGGCCCAATTACGCATTACTGTAATAATTTATTCAATTCGGCGGCGAAAAAACTGCGTGACATCGGCGCTGCCTGGTAATCTGTGTGACCGCCAAAAAAATTCGGCATATTCAGCGGCCCGGAGGGCCGCCGGAGAAATTTTGATCCTCTGATGGCCTGTCAGGGGAACCCCCCTTTCGGCCCCTCGGAGACACCTCCGATTCCGGTCCGACTCCGGTTAGCTCCCTAGCAGGCGGACCCTTAGAGTTTCTTCTCTTTGGATCCTCCCCTGCTAGGTCAGCTTCATTTGTATTTGCTTACCAATGTAACAATGTTCACGCTTTGGATCCTCCCCTGCTAGACCTTGATCTCAGGCCTCCAGGGTTGCCCTTACATGGCCCTCTGACATTCGGCATCTGAATAATAAGTTGTGACACGCCGAAATATTTCGGCGCCGGAGGTCCGGTGTGACGCGTGACCGCCGAATTGAATAAATTGATATAGTATGTGAACTTATGGTCTAATTACTACAGTAAGTAGTACATCCTTAGTTAAACTAGGATTACTATATTACCTACTCATCATTAAGTATAGGCAGGATGGCGCAGGAGGGCGTGCATATGAAGCATCCAAGTATGGGCGAGCATTAGGGCTGTTAGGGATGTCCGCCGGAGCGTGCTGCGTCGTAATCCGCTGTCAGTCAATGAACTTCAGAGGAATCATGCATCGCCCTAAGTTATCACAACCGCCGCTACCACATGTGCTTGGGACACCGCCACTGGCAAGCGTGTGCAATGCATATTGGTATCTCCTGAGAACATTTCAATCCCAATTTCTGAACGAAACTTGGGGGAATTCAAGTTGACGTACCTGTCTTTCTACTAGTGTACTGTCAGATTTTATTCAATTCGAATGGCCCGGGGGGCTGTGACACATTGATGTCCGAAAACATTCGTATGATGTTCCCCATTTGGCAATTTGGCGCGCCGAAGGCGCTGGAATTGTGAGAAATTACCATTTTGGGAAGCCAAAATCCACTTTTTGCTGTGACATACGAAAAAATTTCGTATAACATCGGTCGTGTGACATGTGACATACGAATTGAATAAAATCTTACAGTATCGCTCTGAGTCGTCTCGCTGTGAGACAAGGGTTTGAAGCAAAATGGAAGAGAGGAATGATCTCTGGGTTGCCGTGCTTGAAACGATATTGACGCGACACTGGGGCGGCGTCAGACCCTTGTTCGGCCCTTGTTAATCCTACCCATCAAGTCAGTCTCCTGTATTTTCTCAGCACCAATACGGCATACGCACCACCGCAAGACATAAATCCTCCACCGGCTGACTTTGAGTGGGACACTTGAAGACATTGCGCCGTTGTGGTGGGTGACGGTGACGCCGTTTCCGTGTAGTAGATACTGTAGAAAAAGACCAATAAACGCCAAAGAGATGAACTTGAAGCAGAGATACTGGGGAGATAATTAGCGTTACAAATGGAGACAACGCAGCACGATGAGTGCCTCCTCAAGCTATGAATGCGAGCTCTATCTGCCATGTTTTGGTGCCCACAGAATCCAGAGTCGGTGAGCCAAGCAGAGTATTAGTGACGCGCGCATGTGAGGAGGTAGAAGCCACGGTATTAGTCCATCATGGGCCCCTGGCCCACTTGAGCAATATTGGCTGACGAAAGGTGGGAGGGGAAGGAAGCAGTCGCAGGCGTCACCCGTAGCTGTAAGATCTAGGCAGCCCTTCTAGTAGCTGCTAGAACCCCCATTGCCTAGAAGGCTAGATCCTGCTAGTCTAGCTACTGCTAGCAGAACTAGGCTAGATAGTGCTTACAAAGTCATCAAAAATCAGTATTGATACATCAAATTAATTGATATGACTAAGATATTACTATATATGGAAGTTTAACTCCTTTTCTTCAGGCCGATGACCCGGTATATAGTGAGGAAGGCCTGTATCAATTACTATCCTAATTGGGACAAAAATGATGTGGTATCATAGAGCCATCAAAATCAGTGATGGCTATCAAAATTGGTTCCACAATCAAAATAATACTCAGATAGCATCACTCCCATCACTAATATAATGCTAGATAAGGAATAATAATATTAATAAATAATAGTCACACATGTCACAATAAGTCACGGTGGGCTCTAGTAAGATTTTACCACTACGGCTCCAGGCGTTGCGGAAGACAGAGATCGGCCCGAGCACGTGATCTCACCCATCTTCTTCTCCACTTCCACACGACAACCATGGCCGACTCCTTCGCCTGCAATGACTGTAGCTGCGCCTGGGGGTCTGCCCGCGATAGGCAGCGCCTAACATAGTGTGCTATTGGGGGAGGCAGGAGGATGGGAGATCGGGAGCGCTGGTGGGAGGCACTGGGAGCAGAAGGTGTGTCTCCATTTCCTCGTAAACGAGGTCTCGAAGCTCACAAGTAGCTAGTACCTCCGCCCTAGCTTTTGGGAGCATATGCGACTGCGCCTGGCTGCCCGCTTTCCTATTTCGACCTCACGCCATGATTGTCGATCCCTCTCCCTGGCCACTGTGCGGAGCTACACCAGGTGTGGAGACGACGGTGTTTCGAGCCCGCTGCTGCCAGAGCGGACGATTTTGGACGAGTTACGCGCTCGCGGTCATATGGGAACTCGTGTGAGTTGTCTTTCTATATATTCCTGTTGACAACCCGGTTTTGACCTGCTCCTCCAAAGTCCTGCTTCCCACCGCCCCATTTTCTTGCTCCTTCATCATCTTCGTCGTCGCCGCAGGCTTATTGCGCACTTCTAACGGACCCGCCATATCCTCCCAGCCTGGCTCGCCCAACAATTCGGCATGATACAATGGACACTACAACGACTTCCGCGTTGTCGTATCTGCATGCAGCAGAACCTTCTCGGCATGCAAGTAATGCTCGCCATCAAGGTTGGCGACCTTCCCAACTTGTCTCCTTGTTTGCGGAGTCCGGACGATTCCTGTTTGCTATTGCCTACTACACAAGACCAGCCCGCCCTTGAATTCGGTCGTGATTTCCTTCTGCTTGCCACTCGTCACCCTTCGAAGACCACATATCTCGCTCCACCCAGCGTATCCAGCGTGGTACATCTCCACACTCCTATGTACACCACCATCTCCTTCTGTCGATTCGAGGAGCAAAGCCGCCGCTTTCATTGTCGGGAGCAAATAGCATGTCTTACTGCACAAATCTTCATCCATCGCTGCGACATCATATCCGCTGACTGCGCCTGTAGTCTTGGGGCTGAATACTCGTATCCGACCGATGTCGACTGACTTTGACAGTGGGCAATTTGGGTCCAGCTTGTGGACCATTGTAGCTTCTTCTTCAAGTGTGCCTATACACCCTGACTATGACTCCCTGCTCCCCTCCGATCCCTCCCCCGTCCTCCCCGCTCACGCCTGCACCCTGGACAAGCAATCAGCGTCGACTTCCCAAAATGGCAAGTCACGTGCTTCTCCGCCGACCAAAAGACGGCGACATATCTCGCACGATGCGGCACTGGCAGCTGGCGCTCTATCGAGTGTATCTCGTTGTGCGCCATACTCTTCCGCTCCTACCTAATTCTTTCCCCACCATTCAAGGGGCAAGGTCGCTGTCGAGCGCCTTTTGTCTTGCAGCCATGTGGGAGTGGTGCGTTTTCTCCTCCTCCTCGTTCTCTCGGCATCCGTGCTGACACACTTGTTATTTCCAGTGTCGATCTGGCGACTTTCGAAGGCTGCGGGGGCGGGAGAGGTCGTTCGGGACACATAGGCGCAGGTCGGCAAGCGCTGGACATAGTAGTTGGCAGTCTAGCATCTGTAGACAAATTTCGGCGTCTTGGGGAAGGCGGGAAATGGGTTGGTAAGCGACACGTGTTACGGGCACGTGTCAATGACTCGACACGAAAAGGGGCAGTCCCTATTTTCCTCAACGACGACAATGGCGGAAGCGCACCTCTCGGCGCTGCGCGACGTGATGAAGCAGTCTACGCCATGGATATGCGGTGTGCTTGATGTCCGGCGCGAGGACTTGATGCTGTTCTACAAGCACGCTGGCGATGAACGGTGGGCTTTGTGCGTTGCTGCTGCTCCAACAATGACCATTTTTTTGAAGACTCGCGATGCTCAACTTTGGAGAGGCAACGGAGGCACAGCTGCAGGACCTCGCTGCTGCGTGTCGGCTTGTGACATTTGGGCGGGGGACGGAAGACGGTGCTTGACGAGGGCTACCGCAAGGCAGGGAAACTCGACTGCAGCGACTTTGCGGCCTCACTCGATATCGGGACACTTAATATCCTTGATGAAATCACGCCGGATTTGCTCGAGGGACACGGGGACGCAGTTATCACGGCGGAGCTGTATAAGCTGAACGTGTATGGTGAGTTCAATGCTTGAAAAGTTCTGCCTTTTTATTGAATGTCCTCTGGGCCCTGGCTCTTTCTTCAAGTCTCACAAGGACACGCCCCGTGGAAGAAGCATGGTCGGCTCGCTCGTCATTGTTCTTCCCACAGAGCACCGAGGCGGACAACTTAACTTATCACACGGCAAAAACTCGTTCACCTTTGACTCTGCGGTGCGAGTGGCCGGTGGAAGCGGGTCAATCGCATACGTCGCCTTCTTCAGCGACGTCACTCATGCTGTTGAGCCCGTTGTCTCCGGCCATCACGTCACACTCACCTACAATCTGCTCATCTCGCCAAAATCGTCCTCGCTGCATCTGAACACAAGACAGCCGCTGTTTGAGGTCGAGGTCGCCTGCCAGAGTGCATTGGCTGCGCTGCTTGCCGACCCCGCTTTCCTGCCCGATGGCGGTCTTCTCAGCTTTGGGCTCGAGCACGAGTACCCTGTCCCGCGCACGATTTCCGACCCAACCACCCTCGGCCATGTGCTCTATATGCTCAAGGGGGCGGATGCAGCGTGCGGCAGCCCGGGCCGGGCTCAAGACGACGCTCAAGCTCGTGTATATCACGCCGGGCGACATGGACTACGATAGTGGTGAGGGCGTGCGCATGGCGCTCGACAGCGTGCTCGATTTGGCGGAGGGTCTGGTTGGCGGAGGACAGCGAGGTCGATGACGAGCTGAGACGTGCGGGGCAGCCGATTGTGCGCACAACCGCGGCGGGGCGCCAGGCGTGGACTAAGCTGTACGATGACGAGCAGCTGGTGTCGGTGTGTTAGGTGACGGAACCGCAAGAAGAGAGGAATAGGGCCGAGTCGTCGTATATTGCAATGGGGAACGAGCCAGTGATGGACTATGTGTATGGGCGGGCGGTACTTTTGGTGGAGATACCGCATGCAGAGCATCCGCAGCGGGCATAGACTCGGTCGGACCAGATATTAGTTGCTATGTTAGCGCAATTGCGTTTATAATGATCCATTTTGTACGGTGTTAGTGAATCAGATTAGGATGCAGGATTAAAATACCTAGACATTTACATCCTGTTTTTAATACCTGGGGCATTTAAAAACCAATTTCAAAACAGGGATGTATTAAATTGCCTAAAAAGGCAATTTTGGGCTCTCAAACTACATCACCAATTACTGATATTGTATAACCCTCATTGGTACCTCTGAATATTTAAATTTGTATGTTATCCTTTCATAGATAATATATTTTCCCCTTTTGAAAATCTGTCAGGGGAAGCCCCCTTTCGGCCCCTCGGAGATCCGTCTGATTCCAGTCTGACTCTGGTGACGAGATGTTAGCGGAGTTGATCGCCCGCTACATGGACACAGCTGCCCTGTCGGAGACAGCAGCGGAGTCAATGGCCAGAGAGGATTTTGTCCTCCGCGACGAGTGACTGGTGTGCCCTCGTTCGCGTCCATAAATCGTTTTGCCTCCTTGTATGATGAATGCAGTTCTGTGCCCTACAATGAGCCCGAAACAAAAAAAACACACCCTCTCCTGCCCCCGCCTCGACTCCGTCTCTGACTCCGCCCGTGACTCCGGTCATCGTCCTTTGCCGCCCCCGTCACTCACCTTGGCAAACAAGACCTCATCTTGAGTTACTCCTCGCTGTGGGCTGCTCCACTTGCCGCGAGGAAGAACACGCTGAATGGACCAAGCTGCGGCGACTCCGGTTACTTCAGAAGCGACTCCGCTCCGCCCCGTTCCCCTCGATCTACGCCATGGACCTGTCGGGCCCGACGACAGAGACAATTCCGATTCTGGACTTGACTCCGGCCTGCCAGATTTGACACCGTACTCGTACTCGGACTCGGACGACGATGACGACCAACTTGAAGATGGTGACCGCATCTTCTACACCTCGTTCCATCCCTCAGAGGAGATATGTGCTGGCAGTACCGTCTCGCAACGCCTGGGCGAAGCCTTTGCTAGGAACTCTACCCCTCTGCCCTCTGACATCCCGGACTGGGCTAAGCCGTTCCAGGACGTCTTCAACAAGGAGCCCTTCAACACGCTACCGGGGCGGAGAGCTTGGGACCACGCCATTGAACTCGTCCCCGACCCTAAGCCCACCAACTGCAAGGTATACCCCCATCTCGCCCCTCGAGCAACGTGAGCTTGACGTGTTCATCCAGGAAAGGCTGTCAATGGGCCGGATTTGTCCCTCCAATTCTCCGATGGCATCTCCGGTCTTCTTTGTCAAACAGAAGGATGGCGGACTCCGCTTTGTCCAGGACTACCAGGCTCTCAACACAATGACCATCAAAACCGGTATCCCCTCCCGTTGATCAATGACCTCATCAACCGGCTCAAAGGCACTCATTACTTCACCCAACTCAACATTTATTGGAGTTTCAACAACGTCCGAATCAAAGAAGGTGATGAGTGGAAAGCAGCTTTCTGGACTAACCGAGGCCTGTTTGAGCCCTTGGTGATGTATTTCGGCCTGACAAACTCTCCCGTGATGTTTCAAACAATGATGAAGGACATTTTCCAGGACCTCATCCTCTCCGGAGACGTCATGATCTACCTTGACGACATCCTGATCACCCATTCCGACCTCCGGAAACACCGGCAGATTGTTCAGAAGGTCTTACGGCGACTCCGAGAGCACAAGTTGTACCTTCGAGCGGACAAGTGCAACTTTGAAAAATCGTCAATCGAGTACCTCGGAGTTATCATCTCCCACAACCACATTGAAATGGACCCCGTCAAGGTCGCATGCGTCTCCACTTGGCCGACTCTGGAAAACAAGAAGGACATTCAGCAGTTCCTTGGGTTCGCTAGTTTCTACCGCAGGTTCATTCAGGACTTTTCCGCCCTCGCGCGTCCTCTCTTCGCGCTCACCAAGAAGGACCAGTGTTAAGTGCCGTGCAAGAACCGAAAGGAAGTAACGGAAAGTCCGAAGCAGAACCGAGTGGCTATCACAACACTATATCGGAGTGAGCGACTACACGTCTTGCAGGCCGAAAGCAAGTCTGAACAAATACGTGAACTCCTGCGGATACGTTCGGAGAAGCCGAAGGCGATAAGGCTTAGCACGCGGGGAGGAGTCAGACGAGAGCGGAGAGCGAGGCAAGAAACGTTAATAACGAAACTGAAGTACAGGACTGTAGAGTACGAGTATTTATACTAAGTGGTAAGCATAAGGCATATGACCTCGCAGGGAGATCCGATGTGGTCCGCAGGATCTCCCTGTGGGTTAAGTACAAAGGCATAGTAAGTAAGGGGAACGAGAAGACATACACGAGGCAAAGGAAAGAAGGCGAACACCTAAAGGATATAAGTAAACAAACGCAAGTCCAAATGGGTAAAGATCCGAGTTGATGGTCGGAGGGTCCAAACAGGTCCGAGGGAGTCTGCGCGCAGATTAACTGTTTGAAGGGAAACACTCGGATACCTTCATTGCGTAAAAACCCTGTTGTGCTCCTAGGATAACCTCGGAGCGTCCGAAGATGCACGGGATATAACAACCAGCAATGGACTTGGGGCGATGTGGAGGCCTCCGCGTTCCAAGCAATCAAGGACGCAGTCACCTCGGAACCGGTTCTGGCGATTCCGGATGACAGCTTAAATGATGTCCAGCACAACTACGAAATCCACGACAAGGAGATCCTTGCGATCATCCGCGCACTCAAGGAGTATAGACATTTCCTCGAGGGCGCCACCCTGTCGAGATTTGGACTGACCATAAGAATTTGGAGTACTTCAGGAAGACGCAGCACCTCAACGGGAGACAGGCCCGGTGGTCCCTGTACCTCTCCCGGTTTGACTTCACGCTGCACCACAAGCCTGGCTGCGACATGGGTCGACCTGACGCCCTCTCCCGGAGACCCGACCACGGAGTCGATTCCGACAACTCCGATGTCGTCCTTCTGCGGCCTGAACTCTTCCACTTCCGTTTCCGGTCCCGGCTCTGAACTCCTCCGCAACATCCGTGATGCCCTCTCCGGTGAGCCTGACTTGGAGGAGCCCGTCGCACTAACGGCCCGGCAACTTCTTAAGGTTCAAGGTCAAGCTCGAGGCCCCCGCTCATCATGTTCCGATGAGTCGGACTTCTCCGGTGGTCTTCTCCATTTCCACTGGAAGATTGTGGTACCCAAGGACAAGGACCTTTGGAGACCCATCATCGAGCTCTGCCATGACACTCGAGTCGCCGGACATACCAGTCGCTTTAAGACCTTGGAGTTGGTCTCCCGGAACTACTGGTGGCCCCAGATGTCTCGCCATATTGGCCGGTATGTTGCGACCTGTGACCTGTGCTGTCGCACCAAGGCACTACGGAGATTGCCCTACGGAGAGCTCCACCCATAGGTTGAAAGCTGCACCCGATGGAAACGCCCCTGGAACGCTGGCATACTGTTTCCGTCAACTTCATCGTCGAACTCCCCGAGGCCCATGGGTATGACGCAATCATGGTCGTCATCAACACCCTCGGAAAGCACGCCCACTTCTTGGAGTGTCATACGACCATTGACACGGTAGGAGCAGCCCGTTTCTACTATCAGAATGTCTGGCGACACTACGGGACCCCGGAGAAGTACGTTTCTGACCGTGGGTCGCAGTTTATCGCGCACTTCATCCAAGAGCTCTGGCGTCTAATCAGCATCAAGGCTGCCACGTCCACCGCGTACCATCCCCAGATGGACGGTGTCAGACTGCGGGTCGGGCCGTGCAAGGACCTCTCCTAAGAACGCGTGCCCGGAACAGAACAGACGGATAGTCGGGCCCGCAGGTACAGCGGGCGGGGTAGATCGAAACCGAAAGGGCCCGTGAACTCGGTCCCTTGCCGTGGTCGGTGGTCGAAGGTTCGAATCGGGTCGTGTCGGGCCCGATAAGTCGATAACGTCTCCTTGCACGGAGTAAGGTAGTTCTTCAGACGATCTAAGCGATAGGGTACAGGGTACACTATCGCTCCGTATATACGCGGGCCTGCAAAGGGGGGTGATCGGACACCCTGGCCTCTCCTTCTCCTCCTCGCTCGCGTTCCTGGCCGCAGAGGGGACGATCGTACATCCCTTGTGGGCCAGGCGCTACTCCTAACCTCCTAGCACTCCTCCCCAGTCCCCTTGTGTCGAGTTGGGCTCGGCAACGGCTCGACGCGTCGTTCTCGGTCACGTGCTTCCCACGTGTGCATTCCTCCTACTGGGGCGCATGTTCCCCGTCGTCACGTGCTGCGTGCTACGGGCCCGCGATGGCCCGACACCAGCGCCGGAGCGGACGGGCCAGGTCTTATCCGTGACAGACGGTCAGACAGAGCGCGTCAGTCAGGAGTTGGAGCAGTACCTGCGGATCTCACCAACTATCAGCAGGACGACCACCCGGAATCCGGATGACTGGGACGAGCTGATTCCGGCCGCGGAGTTCGCCTACAATAACGTTCACTCCTCCATGCAGCAAGTCCCCTTTATGATGGACACAGGACGACTACCACGCATGGGCTTCCAACCTGGAGTCTGCTCCGCTATGGAGTCTGTGAACGAGTTCCGCGACCGGATTGCCGCCGGTTGTCAGGGGAACCCCCCTTTCAGCCCCTTGGAGACACGTTTGACTCTGGTCCGATTCCGGTTCCGACTCCGGTCCAGCCCTCCATCTCGCCCGCACAATCACCGATCCGTCAACGCCCTCCCGATGGTCACCCTGGGACCTCACCTGCGACGCCGCCCAAGCCTTCTGTGCCTGACAGCGGCAGCTACGGACAAGCAGTATATAGTCAGCTACCTAGCAGGTGGACCCTCAGAGTTTCTTCTCTTTGGATCCTCCCCTGCTAGGTCAGCTTCATTTGTATTCGCTTACCAATGTTCACGCTTTGAATCCTCCCCTGCTAGGACCTTGATCTCAGGCCTCCGGGGTTGCCCTTACACTGGTGTTGCCGAGGCCAAGGCCGCGCTCACTAAGGCCAAAGAGGAGTACAAGCGCTACTACGACCGGAGATGCACTCCGTCTCCGGAGTTCAAGGTTGGCGACCATCTTTGGCTGGATGCCTCTGACATCAGGATGACTCGCCCCTCGGAAAAGTTCTCCCACCACCGCCTTGGACCTTTCAAGATAGTCGCAGAGATCAGCAAAGGGGCCTACAAGCTCAATCTCCCTCCGCGCTACTCGAAGCTCTACCCGGGAGCTTGATCTCAGGTCTCCAGGGTTGCCCTTACAAATACTATGAGGACAAGAATAGAAGTAATACTAGTTAGTATACAAGCTGGTTTTGTGTGAGCTGGAAACAAACAGAAACCCTTTGTTTCTGTGTAACCGGAGCGCCGGAGTCGCCGCAACTCGGTCCGTTTGACACGCTCCTCCTTGCGGCAGGTCGAGCAATTGCGGGGACACCGTGTCATCTTGACCTCCTTGGTTTCCCAATTGATCTCTGGGTTGTGTTTCCGCAACCAGGAGTACCCCAGGATGAGGTCTTGCTTGCCAAGATGGGTGACGGCCAGTTGAACTCGTTCGGCATGGCCTCTGTAGCGCAAGTCCGTGATCTGTCTCATGGAGCCGGCATCATTAGGGGTGCTGTCGACATTGAAGACCGGGATCGGCTGATCAAGAGTGCGGACCAGAATGCCATTCCGAGCGACATAGTTTGTGTCAATGAAGTCGGAGGTGGCACCACAGTCGACAAGCCCAGAGAGCGAGAGCTTCAACGCACTGGTGGTGGACTCTAGCTCCAACGGGAGGTGGAGGGAGTTTGCCCCAGGGGCAGCGGCATCTCCGGCAGGGCAGCTGTGTCCATGTAGCGGGCGATCAACTCCGCTAACATCTCGTCACCGAGTTGTTGGATCACCTCGTCGAGGATGTCCATCGAGCGGACATCGGCGGGGAGGGGGCAATCCCGGGCGAGATGGTTTGGGTCGCCGCACCTGAAGCAGGCGCGACGAGGGGCACCCCGAGCCCTGGTGCGATTCAACTCCATAGGGACGGGAGCTGGAGGCGCCGGAGCGGGGGCGCAGGCCGCAGGTGGCACGACCGGAGCCACCGGGCGGAAGGGGGCCGGAGCCGGGATGCGGTTGACCAGAAACGGAGTCCGAATCAAACCGCCAGGCGTCTTGGGGGCGGCTGACTTGATCAGCTTGGCCCGGACCAGGGCCTCGTATTGACGGAAGGCCCGGGTGCGCCAGCTAAGGTAGTTCCGGAGGTCCGGGGGGGTCGTTCGAGGACGTGATTCCGTTGTTGATCAAGGGATCAAGTCCATGGCGGAACTTGGTAACCTTGACCAACGCGTCTTCGAATCCGGCGAGGTCCATCAGTCGAAGTCGTCAGTGTACTGGTAGACATCCTTTGTGCCCATGTGATAGGCGGAAGTCTCCAGCTTGGAGAGAGCGTGATCTTGCTCGTTCTCCTCGACGAACCGGAGTCGAAACTCGGAAACGAACGAGCCCCAGGACGGAAACGGAAACGGGGCTTTGCTTCCGTGGCGCTCCGCCCATTGCTGAGCGGGTCCTTCTGCCATAAACGACATGGCATAGCGGACGGCCTTTTCCTAGCTCGCCTCTCCGTTGACCACAAAGGCCTCAGGGGCAAGGCGGGCGTAGGTGCGGACCGCGTAGAGGAACGCGCGGCCGCGTTTCCGGTCGCCGTTGAAGGTGAACGGGGGGTTTGGTCGCAAGACCAATTTTGAGGCGAGGTTGATGTCACCAGAAAGGGCTTCGGAGTCGCCCTGGACCAGAGTCGGAGTCGGAATCGACGTCTCCGGCGATGGTGTTTGGGGTCCGCCAGCATTATTAGCGGCGGCAGCGGCAGCGGAAGCCTGGTTGGTGAGTAAAGCAAGGGCCTCGGTTAGGCTATGGATTTTCGCCTCAAGTGAGTCCAGCCGGGCGTCTGCGGTAGGAGTGACTCCGGACGGCATGACGGGTGCGGGGACCACAGGAGTAGAGGAGGAGGGAACAAGTGGCAGGGGCGGTGACGAGGGCGGAACGGACTTGTACTCCGAGCCTGAGTCAGCGCCGAACCTGGCAATCTTGTCCGGTTGATCCCGTAGAGAGTTTCTTCTGCTGTAAGGGCAACCCCGGAGGCCTGAGATCAAGGTCCTAGCAGGGGAGGATTCAAAGCGTGAACATTGGTAAGCGAATACAAATGAAGCTGACCTAGCAGGGGAGGATCCAAAGAGAAGAAACTCTGAGGGTCCACCTGCTAGGTAGCTGACTATATACTGCTTGTCCGTAGCTGCCGCTGTCAGGCACAGAAGGCTTGGGCGGCGTCGCAGGCAAGGTCCCAGGGCGACCGTCGGGAGGGCGTTGACGGATCGGTGATTGTGCGGGCGAGATGGAGGGCCGGATCAGAGTCGGAACCGGAATCGGACCGGAATCGGGCGCGTCTCCGGGCCGAAAGGGAGGTTCCCCTGACAATGATAATAGATAATATAATAATAACCAGCACTACTTACTACTAGGAATGGTATATGGTGGTTACTTTGAGCAAAAAATAAATCTGGCCACTCTGCTCCACCCCTTCCAGCCACTCCAATCTCTGGGCCTTCAGGGTTGCCTTTATATTTATTAGAGGTGATCAAGGCACTTAAAGGAGCTTACCACTCCATGCATGTGTAGCCAAATAAAATCCCTTCAATCATCTAATTTCCATACTCTTGGACTGGTTATCTAACTTATTAAGCACTAGGCAATGGCACGGGTAAGGTATACCCGCACGGGTACACGGGTTTTACCCGCGCGGGTACGGGTATAGATCGGAAAATCCTTACCCGCCGACCCATGGGTGCATAACCCATGGGTAGATCAGATGAAATCAGAGGATGTCTTGAATATGGTTGAGGATGAGGATGTACCAGAGGGTGAGGATGAGCCTGAGTTAGCGGATGGATGGGATAAAATTGAGTTGAACTAGGAAATATATCAGTCTTTTGGGGTTCAGAATGGACAATACCCATGAGTAAAACCCATACCCATACTCATGACTACTCATACCCATACCCATGGGTATGGGTATGGTGGCTGTGCAGGTACGAGTATGAGTAAGGCTCTGGATACCCAGGGGTTTACTCATGCCATTGCCTATTAAGCACTAGGACTTGCTTTATCATCCAGGTCATCTTGAGCAGAGTGGACAGTCAGCTCCAAAGTAGACCTAGACCTGACTATTGTTTTGTTTGTGCAACTACACTTCTCCAAAAAAAGGCAATCCCTACTGGTAATAAATGCGACACACATCTGATGATGCATTTTTTTTTGAATGTAAATATTTTATACAGGTAGTGCATATAATTATGTACTATTCTTGTCAGTTACAGCCAAATCCGTCGAGAAATGCTTACGCAACGCCCTATGGTACTGTTCAAACAGTTAATCAAGTTGTCTGCAATATAGAAGGCTTGTGCTCGATTAAAACAGGCTTGCAAAATTGAATGTCAAAGGCAAGAGTCGCCAGAACGACCCAACTCTCCACATCAACGGCGGTTGATCCTGGCAAATTTCAAGATTTGGTCCAAAATGTTTGCGAGACAGTAAATGTCTTGCGATTTATTTTTTTGCTTCAAGTAACCGCCATAGGAATAGTGCCTGCTCTCTCTAACCTAAAATTCTAGAATCTAGACTCTAAAGGATTATGCATCAAAGACATCATCCCAGACTTGCACCTGTACATAATCTCTCCATGTCCTTACCCTACGCCCTAGACAATTTCCAAGCTGAACGGCGTCTTCAGTGTAGTCTAAAAAGACGCATCAGCATATTCGGCGTTTGCACAAGAAGAAAAGCCTACACCCAAACTCTCCAATGGCAGCGAATAGCTCGTCGAAGGCCACGGCCAGATGAACTGGCATACCAGCGGCGGTCATCCCAGCTACAAAGGCCGCGGATGTGATTTGATTGAAGACAACCTTCTTGCCTGTCGCTGAGAAACACAAAAGGTGAGGAAACCAAACGGAAAGGAAGCTAGTTATCTCCACTCACCCTCAGAAAGCTGTCGGACCTGGTCCTCGCTGCTCAGCATCTCTGCAAACACCGCCCACGTCTGCCTATCAGGGAAGACGGTCGCTTCGATTGCCCTGCGCACAAAGAGCCCATAGTCATGGTGGACATCGATGAGTGGTATTGGCGCCGACGGTGCGATGGGGAGGCTCACTGCCCAGACATCTGGCGCGACCTTCCGCGGGCGCATTATCGTACGCATATTGCTCGCATAGCCTCCTGCTTGGAGGACAACGAAGGGGACGCCCGATGCCCGGCCGTATTCCGACACGCGAACCTTGCTTTCGAAATGGCAAACTTGTGTGTACTTGCCGTGCGACAGAGAGGCCATGCTGGGAAGACCTGACCAGACGATGCCCTTGACTCCGGCAGCCTTCGCTGCGTCGATCATGAGTTCGCCTTCCGCCGTTTCCTGTGAAAGTGTCAACAGTTGTCTGCCGCAAAAGATTACAACTCACCCGACCCGGATCGAAGTGCTCCGCCCAATTGGTGAGCAACTAGCAAGACATATGTAAGTACACTTTGCCAGAGGAAAAAGTAGCTGTTAGTACAAAGACATAGGCAGCGCCTTCAAAGGCCGCAAAGACCGCCTCCTTGTTGTTAGCTGTCAAAGACAGGCCGACGACTTGGACGCCACGCTCGGAGAGCACGATAGCGGAGGGTTTGGCGGTGTTGCGAGTGAATGTGCGAATGCGGTATGACTTGTCGGATTCCGAAAGGGCAAGCACAACACTGCCGCCTTGAGTCCCGGTCCCACCCACGACCACAACAAGTGGAGAGTTGGTGTCTTTCACGATGGTCATTGGCGGAAAGGTAAGCTGAGCGATAACACATACCCGTCTTCTTATATTTCGGCGTTCATCGCCCCGTAACAGCGCAATGGAGCTTCCACATGAGGAGCGCGAGCCCAAACTGATAGTTGTCGAAGACGATTGTCGTGGGGTTTATATCGGATATGGTGATGGAATCCTCTCCGGCGCCGCAGGTTGTTCCCTCGTTCGGAGGGCACGAGCCAAAAAGGGTGGGGGTATCCCGTTATAGAGCGGATGCCAATTGAATACCGGCGCAAAGTCACAGAGCCGGTATACAGAAGGAATGTCGAGTTTGCGCGGTACATAAGTCGTATTGTGCAATTGAGGTGGGTCTATTCATTCGGAGCTCATTCCCGAAGTCGTCCTCGCAGCAACCGGACCCGAGTTGTGCCGTGGTTCGTTGGGAAAGACAGGCAGAGAAGAGAAAGTATGACCACGATATTGACGCCAAGTTGGCATAGCGATGATCTAGCGGTTCGAGATGGAGAAGGGCACACCAAAAATAGACCAGTGAAGCACATACCGAGAGTCGTATGCCACTGGCATAAAAATAGCCCAGCAAAATCACCGAGGGATTCCATTCAGTGAGAATGCGCCATCTGGTTCTTCGTTTTTGCCATGAGGATTGTGCGTGAAACGATGCGACCGATATGAGCGTCGCTGCAGACCACACGGGAGAACCACATCGTTGGTTTCATGCAAGAGGAAGAGCCCAAGACGACGGACTCGGATTTGGAACAAGGAATTTGACTTAGATAAAATCGACTGGGAAGATGGGCGTGGAACACGTTGATAAGAAATAGAGATGAGCTGACGGTAGAGCGTTGGGGGCGAGTGTTATCGGTTGTGCAAGCCTAAGACCAGGTCATTCAGCTTGCATGTCGGAGAAGACAGAAAACAGGCACGCACCTGCGGTAGACCAGCGCTCCAGGTTCTTTCTCTTCTCCCTCGGTTGGGCGTTGCTAACTCAGAGGCGATTGAGAGTGTGGGAGGGAAAGCCTCGGATAACTTGGTGGGAGAAGGCAAATGATTCTCCGACCATTGCGTGAGGAGGTTACTCAGAGTCTTGATTCGAAGAACTAACCAAAATGCAAGTATTCCACTCTGAAGCAAGGCAGACGGGGCTCGCTATCCGTTGTGCGAGCTGTAAGCATCGTTGGTGGTCAGAAAAAGAAATGATGCGCCGTGCCAATTCCCGATCACACCGTCCTTTGCTACCACGACGAGTCGACAACTCAGCCCACTTATCGCTACCTGCGGACATCTCTCAACCATGTTCCGGTTACCCGTCTCTCATCCAGTCTCATCGGGCATTACACAGCGGGCGGAGAGTGACGCGTCATCATCATCGGCTTTGGCCTCGATTTGAAAACGAATCCTACGTATACCCTCCGGCACGACGACTCATTGCACACTACGAGGAGGGTGGAAGGCGCGGGCGCCACCAGCGGCGCCGTCAACGCGTGTACTCGTGGTTAGTAGTCTGACGTTTTGCTTATAAAAAGCCAGCTTACTGAGCCTTACAGAGCCACCGATATCCTGACTATGACCATCACCAAGGACCCTACTGCTCCTCTTGTCGCTGTTGTAGGCGCTACTGGGACCCAAGGCGGCAGCGTCGTCCTCGCCCTCACTGAATCCGAGCGACCATATCGAATTCGCGCATTCACCCGCGATGTCTCGAAACCCGCAGCGAAAGCATTGGCGGAGAAGGGCCTCGAGGTGGTCGCGGTGACGTTGTCGGTGGAGAATAGAGGAGCCGTATTCAAGGCGTTTGAAGGGGCGGACTATGCTTTCGTGTGTGCTACTTTCTCTCAGTCAGATTCGTCCTTATGCGTCCCGTAGCTTGTCACCAACTGGGCGGAACACGGAGACCCACCACGGGTGAGTCATTACGGTCCTTGATTCATTGCCTCAACTCTCTCTCAAGGAAACCATCGAAGGCAAGCTTATGATCGACGCTGCAAAAGCCGCAGGTCTCAAGGGCATCGTCTGGTCCGGGCTGCCTAGCATCGACGCTCTGTCCGGCGGCAAATACAAGAACGTGGGCCACTTCGAAAGCAAAGCACGCGTCTCCGACTACGGCCGCGCTTCTGGGGTCCCTTTTGTCGACATCCAGGCGGGCGGGTACGCGAGCAACATGCGCACCTTCATGCGGCCAGTCAAAGTCTCCGAGGACACTTGGGCCGTCAACCTTCCCCTGCCCCCGACGACGCGGATGCCTATTATTGACGCTGAGCAAGACTACGGCTTGTTTGTCCGCAAGGCACTCGAGCTGCCGGTCTTCCCCGACAAGCAGACGTGGGCGACGTTTGGCGAGCTTATTGGCTTTGCAGACCAGACAAAGCAGCTTTCAGAGGGTGATCTTTTCGCAAGGTGGCTCTGTCTCGCTGGCTGATCGTTCCCAAGCGACTGGAAAGAAAGTCGTCTTCAACCAGATATCGTCCGCGGTCTTCGGCGAGGGAGTCAAGAGCGCTGGTACTCCGCCACATATTGCGCTGGCCATTGAAGAGGTCTTCACATCTGTCGGCGAGTTTGGATGTACGATCTTCCTCTTCCTTCTCTTTTCCGCATTGATGAATACTAACTTCTTGCTCGATAGACTTTTCGGAAGGGACTGTGCTCTCGCAGGAGGGGCTCGCTCGCCAACCGCGCACGTGGAAGCAGTACGTGCGGGCGCAAGATTGGAGCGATGTGCTCGTTTGAGTGTGATGTACAAGTCCTTCTTAGCTACCGTCGGCTTTCCAGCTACACACGATAGATATATGTGGCTTGTCCAATACTACGAGTGGAAATGGAAGCAAAACTGTTCACTTTAATTCAAGGTCAACAGTGCCATTGCCAGCGAGTCATTCGCGAAGCTGGAAAAGCGACCAGAGACCCTCCCACAACTGAACGGCACAGAAAACTGAATATATATTTGCGGCTTGCCTCTATTCGGCCAACCTTGAAGAAAGCAAGGTGTTTACAGTGAGCCACGATCTTCTATCATTTCCGACGACATCGCCGTCCACATTCTGACCGCACGGTCAGTCTTGTTAATAAGCTTGGCAACGAGGCACTTACCTTGTCGAGCAACGAGCACAAGTTGGCATCTCGGCTTCTCCCTCGAGGCTTGAGCACCCTGAAGATCAAAGTCAGCGAAAGGACTGGAGCGAAGGGGAGAGTGCAGACTTGGACAGGAAACTCAAATAAACTGCTGAGTTTACTTGCTATAAATGGTAAGCATGCGTGAAGCAGAACAAAAGACACGTACTTGTAGCTTGACGAACTCGGCGCTGGCACGAGCTGCTAATACACCAGATAAGCGCGGTTTCTTAACCTGGAGCGGTACCTGTTTACTGTTTATTCGCTTGACAACATCACCGGCTTGAAGACTGCTTCGGAATTGTCTTGGACGACAGCTCCTGCAGCTGCACTACTTTGAAGGTGAGTCAGCGTGGTCAACCAACATGACGCGACGAACTACCTTGACAGCCTCAATATACCAACAACAGCGCGTTCTTTGCGCGCAGCACACCTGCGGCCATCCAGCAAGGCCAACGCCGACACGAATCACGACCAAACAGCACCTAGCGCCCGACAAGCCGAACGGAGGCGGGACAACAGCGAGATCTCGTCGTCGTCAAGCGCTGTGTTGACTGAGGTGAGTGCGGGTAGCTCCGGATTAGTGCTCTTCAAGTTCACCGTCGACAACAGGGAGCTAATGAGGGAGAAGGTGCACGTGAGTGCGAGATACTACTAGTACTATATGATAGCACTCACCTAACACGATACAGCCATGGGGTGTCGACTGGCGGCAACGCCTCTGAGCCTGTAAACAACTGTGAGTAAGACCAGTGAAAATGGCGACCCGTCAGCACGCACGGACGCTTTCGCTTCGCTGATGCGCCAACAGCAGCAGCGCCTATCCGGGCATCACCGCCGACCCGGAGCTTCAGCGCAAGACAGGTCTGAGTGGCTGCGACAGCGAGCGCGCAAGGACCAGCGGGCACGTGTCACTTATCAACTCTCTCCGCTTTCCCGCTCGACGCTCGTTTCCCCCACTCGGACCCACCCGCTGGCCCGGAGCACACGAGCGCGGCCGGCTCAAGACGCGCCGAATGCGCGGCTGCGAATGATACTGCCACAGGCATCGCTTGCTTGCGGGGCCATCGCTCAACGGCAAGGCGCTGAAATCTGTCTATAGGGTGCTGGAATGCTGACTACTCTGTCTAGCGGCTTGCCGGCCTGCACCTATGTGTCCCGACCGACCCCTCTTGCCCCCGCAGCCTCCAAAGTCGCCAAATCGACACTGTGAATACCGAGTGTGTGCGCGGATCCCGAGAACGAGGAGAACAATGCGTGTGGAGGGGAGGAGAGTGTACGTTTGTCGTCCGCCCATAGCGCCTCTCGGACTGACTCTTTCTAGCGCTGGTAGTATTGGATATCATCGAGATGGAATGCAATTCCGCTTGTTTGTTCACGCCGTTCGACGCGTTTTCCTTCCCTGAGTGACAAGTCCCGTGAGTGCCAGTGTGACTCCACTTTTCCTCTCACCGCCAACCATACACAAGCAAGCTTGCTGACTCGCCCTCGGGCTGGCCTACAACATTCCTCGAACTTTTTTAATCGTGCGGCCGTATAGCCACGATACGTAAGCCTGGCGCTTGCTGCCTCAAGGCCGCTCAGAGTGGCCCCACAAGACCTCCACAGCCTTGTCATGACTAATGGCTTCTACAGACTTGCTTCCTCCCGTCATGCCAGTCCGACCAGTATTGGACATCCTTCCCCGCGAGCTCTGGGAGACGCTATTCGACCTCCTCTCAGAAGACCTGCTCTTGAAACTGGCCCGCGTGTGTCGGTTCTTCAATGCACGTTGCCTCGATAGATTTCTTTACGGGTCGCTCAGCTATATAGGCACAGCAACGCGGGTCTCTATCGACTCGTGCGGCCTTCTTGCCCTCCCGCTCTGCGTTCTCTGGCAAGAGTTCCCCATCGAAGTCCTCATCTGCGAAGAGCTCGACGCCTCCGACTTGCCCAGGCTGCTGTCATGTTTAGACAGCGTCATCCTCCGCTCGCCCAAACTGCACACCCTCTATCTTAACTTCAACACCAACCTACTCGCGGACTCTTCTCCTTATAACCCCCACAAGCTCATCCTGCCTTATGAAACCCGCGCACTCGTCCTTCCCCGGCTCTGTCAAACGCTTTCGCTCTTCGCCCATCGTAACGACAGCAACCATAGGCAGGATGCAGTCTTTGCGTTCACCGAGACAGCGATGTTCTCTTGCTCTGCGGGTGATTTGGCGGACTGGGAGCTCCACAAGTGGCGGTTTAATCATCACGATGATGCTCATCAGGCTCATCGTGGTTCGCGTCGTCGTGGGCCAAAAAAGGGCCAGCCCGAGGTCGAAGAGGGCAAAGAACCGCCCTGGAACGCGGTCACGAGCACGCGTTTGTTTGACGGTCGGACGGAGAATCTCCCTGTCCTCCGCAGTCTGCTTTCTGCCAACGCACGTCTCATCAAGTCATCGCATACCAAGGGTGGGGGCTGGAAGAGCAGCCTCGTGGTACTCAACCAAAGGAAGGATGAACCTCCCGATTACGATCCTGGGCGGTTTTTTGAGCTCTTCAATAACTTTGAGCTCTCCCGGAGCATGATACACATGGCGTCCGAAGAATGTCTCAAGGCTGTGATGAATCATGCCCGTATTCGCTGGGCCGAAACGCTGTCTCTCGATCCAAGTATTGGCCTTGGGGTGGGGCAATTGCGCCGCTTTCTCGCAAACCATCACCGCCTGAAGTGCATTCGAGTCAGACATGGTTACAGCAGGAGCCCCAAGCGCCAACAGCAGCCCCCGATCCTTGACGCGCCCCTCCGTCATCCTTCGCTAGAAAGGTTGAAGTTGCGGGGCATTCCGGCCTTCCCTGACATCCACTGCAGCTCGCTGATCAAAGGGCTGATCAATAGCCCAAACCTGGCTCTCGTCACCCTCTCCCTGTACAAGTCGGTCTCCAAAAAATGGATGGGCTCCCACACAGACAACATCATCAGCGCATTGAGTGGCATTGCGCGCCGACACCGGTGGCTCCCTTCCATCACACTCGAGCTCACCATCGATTGGTCATATGGGTTCTTCACCCGGATTTGTCGCTGGGAAGACGACCCCCGCGCACTCGACATTGCTGCAAAGCTACACAGTGTAGAGAGAATGCGCGTGGAGGTGAGCTCCGTCGGGGCCGGTCGCAGGCTGTTGCGGTGGTGTAGCCTTCTGCCGCGTCTCCAGTCCTTCGTGTTCAAGCTGGATGTGTACGAGCTCTGGGAAGGGCCGGAACATAAGCGAAGAGAGGCGAACGAGGCGTTCCGGGCCGAGGCAATGGCAGCCTTCCAGCCACGGGTGCGTGTGAGTGGCGTTTGGCTGGCCATCAAAGCCAACGCCAGCCCATCAGGCGTGCACGCCATTCTGTCGGCTTGGCACGCCAGACATTTTGGCGTTGGCTTGTATGGCTTTTGGGTCAAATACTGTAAATAAGTGTCATTTAACATCCTATCGCGGCTTTCAGGTCACCGGCGACTCACCGCTGGCAGCGAGCGGCCATGTCAGGGGTTTCGGCCTGGGGTTTCGGCCGGCCGTCTGTCCTCACGAAGACCTGCTGACTGTAGCAAGACTCTGCGGCGTGCACCGTGACCAGTAGTCAACGCCTGGACTAAAATCGACAGTCGCGTCGGTCAGGATGCAGGAAGCACACGACGGGCACAGCGACCACTGCACACTGGCACCAGCTTGCGTGCAACTCGACTGGAGTCCGGTCAACAGGCTCCAATGCGGCCGGCTGGCGCCACTCAGAGGTGGAGGGTCCCCGGTTATGGGTGTCACGGGTACGATGACCTGCCTGACGATGCGCCCTGGAGCGACGGAGCACCACCAAATGAACTCCGGAGGAGCTCCGCGGGCCGGGCCGGCGGCCGCCGAGTCCAACTGGGCTGGCCGGCCTTCCCCGATATTGCACAATACGGGGCGTAACTCTGCACATGACCCACGCGCGTTTCACCTCAGCACGCCACGAGCCTGGTATTAATATTCGCCACTTCCCGGCGCTCCGGGGGCGCCGGCCGGCGCGTCGGACCCAGAGCGTGAGTACTTGTGAGTCTCGCGCGTATTGTATACCTCGACTTCCGTGTATGACACAAGATGTCTCAGAATGGCTTCTGAGACGCCCTATGCCTTCACAGTGCATACGGTGAAGCATATGGTGGCCTCGCCGGTGGATGCCGGGAAGGCCGGAGCACACCGGTCGATGACACCGGAATCGTAGTAAGCAGCTATATAGGAAATCCCTACAGCCAGTGGGACGCACCGAGGAACACCGTGAACGGCGACGAACAACAGAGAGAACCCTTCGGGAGTGTCCCACGCCATCGCACGCCACGCCACCACCATCAGTGGCGTGCACGCCGGCGTTTGGCGGGCGCACGCCATTCGGCCACGCCACTATGCGAGCTCTGCGGGTGCTCACAATCTCGTATGAGACGAAGCGATTCTCGTTCTAGCTTGCCGCTCAGTTGGTGTCACTTGCTTTATCCGAAATTTCCCTCATTTGGCTGTCTAGATATGAGAGGACTCGGACTACGGTACTTAACGAAATTATTTCGAACTATCAGTGGACTATATGGTTATCTTAGGATTTTCAAGTTACAGTACTTTTACATGACTGACCTTTTCTTTGCACGACGTGATTAAAGATTTTTCCAGGGAATGAGATTCCCGGGCCGGGTATCAACCCAGTGTCTATCATCGTTGCACCCGGGGCGCTCTGCGTGACCAGTCCCGTGGAGTGTGACCAGTCCCGTGGAGTGTGACTCCACGCATCTGACTCGACTCCTTGTCTCTCTACCGCGATGACGACTTCACTTGCTCAGGCGCACCTCTCTGTCCTGCGCACCGCGCTGCAACAACCATGCCCACCGTGGACGTCTGGCATCATCGATGTCCGCCGTGAAGATTTGACGCTGTTCTATGGGGACAAACGGTGGGGCTTTCCTTCCCCTATTCGTCATTCATGGTTTTACTAGACTGGCGAAACTGAACTTCACAGACGCAACAGAGGAACAGCTGCAGGACCTGGCTGGTGCATGTCAACCAGCAACGTTCGGGCTGGGGACGGAGGACGTGCTTGACGAGGGGTACCGCAAGGCGGGGAAGCTCGACTGCAGTGACTTTGCTGCGGCGCTCGATATCGGTAGCCTGGAGATTCTGGATGCGGTTGTGCCGGACTTGTGGGAGGGTGCAGCCATAAGAGCGGAGTTGTACAAGCTGAATGTCTATGGTGAGTCGAGGCCATCCAAGTAGCTGGGGTTAAACGGTCCAAGGCCCTGGCTCGTTTTTCAAATCACACAAGGACACACCCCGCAGCGGAAATATGGTGGGCTCGCTCGTTCTTGTCCTCCCCACGCAGCACCAAGGCGGGCAACTCAGCCTCTCCCACGGCCCGCATTCCTCCGCATTCGACTCTGCGACACTCCTTGCTGGTAAACACAGCTCAATCGCATACGTCGCTCTCTTCAGCGATGTTACCCATGCGGTGGAACCCGTCGTCTCCGGCTTCCGGGTCACGCTCACATACAATCTGTTTGTTTCCGGGTCGAAATCCTTGCCCCCCAAGGCAGCCATCCGAGGCTGAAGTCGTCTGCCAGCGTGCATTGACAGCACTGCTTGCTGACGCTGCTTTCCTGCCTCGAGGCGGTCTCCTTGGTTTTGGGCTCGAGCACGAGTACCCCGTTCCACGCACTGTCTCGGATCCAAATACCCTTTCCCAAGTCCGTCGTGTGCTCAAAGGGGCCGATGCACGTATTGAGCGGGCGGCATCCCGCGCCGGGCTGAAGACAGAGCTTAAGCTGGCGTATACCACCAAAGGCGACGAGTACTACGACAGCGGCAAAGGCGTGCGGATTGCGCTGGACAGTGTTGTCGACCTCCGCGACATCGACTCTGCTGGGAGTGGGGAAATTGACGAAGTGATCAGGCGGGCAGGACAGGCGGTAGTGCGTACGACCGCAGGAGGGAAGCAGGCGTGGACAAAGCTGTACGAGGAGGAGCAGCTGGTGTCGGTGTGTTGGGTCACGGAGCCAGAAGAGGAGAAGAATAGGGCCGAGTCTGCATATATTGCCATGGGGAACGAGCCAGTGCTGGAGTATGCCTATGGGCGGGCAGTGCTTTTGGTAGAGATACCACGTGTGGAAGGGCGAGTGTAGATTAAATGAGGAGACCGAGTTATATCAATAATTGCGTTATAATCGTGTCATATGAGATGGATTTTTATCTCTCTCTGAACAGTTCTTTAAGTCGGAGAAATGACAGTGGAATTTTGTCCTACTTAGTCTCAGGCTAGCACTTGGAAGAAAGTGCTTAATGCCCATTGCGACATACTTGATATAGAATTATGTGCTTGAAGAGATTTTTAGTCTGCGCAGTAGCATCGGCCAAGCCTACAGGATACAGACACTAACTTATGAGCACATCACCCCAATCTTGAGCCTCCACATATTGCTTCTGGAAACTGGGTGGTCTAGCCCAGAAACACTGAGGAACACACAGAAACACAACAGAATCCTGCTATATTCTGGAACAACAATGGAGGACAGAGGTGAGTGACTGAAGAGGCAGTGCTAATGTGACGGAGGAATGTAGGTAAGGCTCCCAGGCTTACAGCTTCCACATACGCGGGTGGTGAGCGAGCCCCTGCTGGAAGAGCCCAGTGCCTTCTGAAAAGTCTATCGAGCAAGAAGTGAGTATTCATCAAAGCGGAAAGGAAGGAGGATCTTACGTCCAAGCTCCCCAACAGATGTGAAGACCTCTTCAATGGCCAGCGCAATATGTGGCGGAGTACCAGCGCTCTGGACCGCGGACAGTATCTGGTTGAAGACAACATTCTTGCCAGTCGCTGGAGAATGATCAGCCATCGAGACAGAACCACCTGGCGAAAACATCACCCTCTGGAAGCTGTCTCGTCTGGTCTTCAAAGCTAATAAGCTCGCCAAACGTCGCCCATGTCTGCTTGTCGGGAAAGACGGGGAGCTAGCTCCAGTGCCTTGCGGGGTCAGCACAAGGTACAACGAGAACGGCTGACGCACCACAAGCGAACCCAGACTCTCCCAAGCCCGCCAAACTCCACCGCCCAACGTCCTAGCCTTGGTGCCAAACGCCTTCCGCAGCCGTCAGCTTGCTGTCAAACGTGGTCAGCACGATGCAGAACGGCAGGTAGGTAGGACACACCACCCTCCGTCATTGCCCAATGCCAAGCTAGACGGCAATGCGCCAATGGGCAAGAACGGCAGCCCTGTGTGACGCACTTCTGCATTACGCGGCTCGGCAGCACCACCATGCATAGCGCGGGCGAAGAGCAAAGGCAGGCGGCCGTTCAGCTGCAAAACCAAGTCAGTTCGACACAACACAACGCTCAACACAACTCACATTGGCATTCGGCACGGTCTCCGCGACACTGCTTGCCGGCAAGAACAGTGCAATTGCAGACGTTGCTGGGGCATTCGGCGCTGACAGTGGACACGACTAGCCTGTAAACGACAGTGAGTAAGACCAGTAAACAGGAGAACCCGTCAGCACGCACGCCGACTCAACGCCTCAGCGCAAGACAGGCCGCGCAGGCTGCGACAGCAACGGCGGCGAGCGCGCAAGTGTAAGGGCAACCCCGGAGGCCTGAGATCAAGGTCCTAGCAGGGGAGGATCCAAAGAGTGAATAGAAGTAAGCAAATACAAGTGAGGCTGACCTAGCAGGGGAGGATCCAAAGAGAAGAAACTCTAAGGGTCCGCCTGCTAGGTAGCGGAACTATATACTGCGCTCTTGACGCGCCAAGGTTGATCGTTGCTCCGTGCAGTATGCCTGCGCCATGTCGCAGGCCAGGTCCCAGGGGGATCGCCAGGCGGGGGCGGCGATGCGCCTGACGGAGGCGGTGATGCGATCACCGGAGTCGGAGCCGGAGTCGGACCGGAATCGGAATCGTCTCCGAGGGGCCGAAAGGGAGGTTCCCCTGACATCACCCCCCCCCTTTGAATGCGGTGTCCCGATGCATAGACCGGAATGGAATCGAGTCGAAGGTTGCAGAGGCGATGTGCCGTGGTTTGCCAGGGTACTTACGATAGAACTCCGCGATTTTCTCCGGGGCGAAGACGCGGTCGAAGCGGACCCACTGGTCGTGCGACGCGTCGTAGCCTTTCCATCTGACGAAGTAATTCAGCCGTTTATACCTCACCCTTGCGTCCAGGATTTCCTCTACTTCCCACTCCGGGACTCCGTCCTCGAGGTCCGGAGGGGGCTGGTTGTAGCCAGGGCGTCCGTCGAAGGGGTCGTCTTGGGCGAGCTCGAGCCTGACGACGGGGAAGACCGGGTGGAGCTTCGAGTAGCGCGGAGGGAGGTCGAGCTTGTAGGCACCTTTGCTGATCTCCGCGACTATCTTGAATGGTCCGAGGCGGCGGTGGGAGAACTTCTCCGAGGGGCGAGTCGTCCTGATGTCAGA